CGCCAACTTGGAGCGTTGGGAAGCCCTGAGATCGGTCATCTCGCTAGGTGTTATAGTATGATGTAGGAACTTAGCGTCGCGGAAGTAAAGACGCAGAATCCCGATCAAGTGTGAGGTGGATGCTACGTTTGTCCAGCTTTCTCGTGCGATTGAAGGGAAGGAAAAGCCTTTATCGACAGCAGTTGGGTCGAAACATTGCTTGAGCAAGTAAGGCATAGACTGAAGACACGGACTGTCATTCTGCCGTAACTATTAAATCGTCCAGCCAGCTAGTGATAGAATTATAGGGACACGAAAAATTCACGAGCATAAATTACCTCCATGGAGTTGGCGAGGAAAAACAATGTTTATAGTGGTTAACGAAGGGTCAACAGTCAACACAACAAAACGGGCTTTTTTTTTGAGCGAGACAAAACGGATATATGTGTACAGTACATTGTATGGGCTTATAGTTGTTATTATTAACGAAGGCCTGACCCGATTAGCTCTTTTGGATCATGGGCTGTCAGTTCGTTCTCCCCGCCTTCAAGGTTCAGAGGCCCGCGTAGATTGGGCCATTGGGAGGTCGAGGTTTGTCATAATGAAATCATTTCTAATAAAATTTTAGTTTTTCTGGTGAAAACTCAAAGTATGAACACAGCGTTTAAAATTATGAGGACTGGCTTTTGAAGTGGGACCCATATGCCATATGCATAAAGAAGTACTCCCTCCGGTTCTATAAAGCAAGTCGTTTTGAGGTTGTCTTAAGTCAAACATTTTAAACTTTGACTACAAATAACTTCTTTTGGGTTGAGTTTGAAAATATGAAAGTGATGTAAGTAGATTCATCTCGAAATGTAGTTTCATAAAAGTATATATTGACTATATTTTATAGATATTTTATAGCAAAAAGTTACAGTCAAAGTTGTTTCTTAAAGACCGTGTCGATGTCCAAAACGACTTGCTTTAGAGAACCAGAGGGAGTAGTGGGTTGTGGCACCGAATCTTTTTTAAAAAAAATTCAATCAATCTTACTAAATACTTAAGGTATGAACGTGACATTTTCAGTTAATTTTCCTAAATTTTCAGCCAATCTATATGGACTTGGACCCTGATCCATTATTACCTCTTCCCACACTCTACATCCCACACATAAGGCTATGGGGGCTCGTCAATGGCTCGCAACAACCCATAGTTGTCGGTCACAAATCGTGTTCCTTTGAGGGTTTTTTTTTTCAATTAAACAGTACAACTCAGACACTCAACCATGTGAATGCGCGCACATAAACTCTACTCCATGAACATCTTCGAAGACTAGACTGACAAATCATCGAGATTGACGTAGTCACCAAAGACGCCTTATCATCTATCATTGAAAACAGAAACGCTGTTAAATCCTGGCTCGCACGGGGAGTCGAACCGAAGACTTAAGGTGCTATTGAATTGTCTTTGTGCGTGTTTGATTCTTAGTCGTATTTCACCCCATGCGTACTTATGGCCAGAAAATCGAACACCACACTTTATGGCGAGATTTTCTGCCCTGCTCGCCTGAAATTATCAACCCGACTTACCAGCCATGGTATAATGTTTTTCTCTCATAACAAAACAGCATCAATCGACTTATCAGCCATAAAAACTATCAGCCGAACAACTTAGTCAAACTTACGGCACGAAAAAAAACAATAACTATTTAGGGACAGAGGGAGTAGATCATATCCAAGAACAATACAAGCATACAAAACTTATATTCATTTATGCTATCCAAAGTGTAATATACTAATATGCTAACTCAGACCTAAACAAACTAATAACTCCGTTCCCTTAATAAAATCCTAATAAATCACGTTTAGTTAAAACTGATATCCTTTTTTTATCTTAGGAGATTCAGCGCGTGTTTAGTTGGGTGAAAGTTGGAAATTTAGCTATTGTAGCACTTTCGTTTTTATTTGGCAAATATTGTTCGATCATGGACTAATTAGGTTCAAAACGTTCGTCTCGTAATTTCCAATCAAACTGTGCAATTAGTTTTTTTTCGTCTACATTTAATGCTCCATACACATGTCGCAAGATTCGATACGATGATTACTGTAACATTTTTAAGAATTTAAGGTGGGAACTAAACACGCGCTCAAACAAGCACCGGATAGCTCTTGCAGTTCTATTTTGTTTCTTGCTTTCATATGTTGCGGAGAAAAGCTAGGCCAAGGCAGCGAGAGCGCAGCCGCGGCAGCAGGGCGGTTGGCTGGATCTACCTGAAGACATCATGTACGACATCCTCCTCCGCCTGCCCCCGAAGTCCGTCGTCCGCTGCCGCGCCGTCTGCAGGTCCTGGCTCCGCCTCGCCTCCGACCGCAGCTTCCTTCTCGCCCACCACCGCCGCCAGCGCTCCCTGCCCCTCGTCTACTTCATCCTCAACGACGGCCGCGACCCGGAGGTCAGCGAGTACCGGCTCGCGGTCTTCGACCTCCGCGCCAACGAGTTGCAGGCTGTCGTCAGATTCTCCCGCCACGGCAATGGGTGGATGGCGCGTGACCGTGATCGCTCTCCATGGCTGCTGCGACGGGGTCCTCCTCCTATCCTCCGACGACCACACCTATTCCTCTACAACCCGACCACGCGCCACTGGGGTCGCCTCCCACCCCTTCACCGCGACAACACCATCGCAGGACTTTACTCGCACAGGATCTCGGACGACTACTGGGTGCTCTACTTCCGGCGCCATGAAGATGGAAATTACTACTACTACGTCATGGCGGCCGGCACCAGGAAGCAGAGGCTGGTCAGTCGTCAGGTATCCCCACTACACTCCTCATGGCACACCTGGTTTGCGCGGCACACACCGCCCGTCCTCCTCCATGGCAACTCCATAGCCGTCTTCGACACGGTCGCCGAAGTGTTCCGGTTGATGCCTTCTCCTGCCGTCAACGTGAACAACCAGCTTGTCTCAAATGTGAAGCTGCTTGACATGGAGGGTGTTCTTGCCATGTCAAGTAGCTGGAGCGAGACTTTCGGGGATGACGGGCCCTCGAGGGTTGATCTGTGGTTTCTTGAGGACTACAAATCCAATGTCTGGGTCTGCAAGTACCGCATTGAATTGCCGGTGGAAGATATCAGCCGTTTCCTTGGATTGCTCGATTTGTGGACTGCTGTTGGGAGATGTGCTGGTTGATCTCATGAATCGCCTGCTGGGGAGGGCAATTCAGTGGCAATTTTGCCGTGTGATTGCAGCTTGCTGGAGATTGGTCCACATATGCTTAAGCGGAGCCTTGTTCCTCATGCATCGCTTGGGATGAAGAACCATAGTCCCAACAAACCACCTTTCCTCTGATGACTATTTAGATTGGGCTATGATTTCTATGAGAGTTTTGGCTGTGTGGTCATGATATTGGATCGTCACTCTTGATTTGGAAAACGGGAGAGACATTTTCATCTGACACTAATATCTTCTTCTTGCGCAAAGCTGATATGAACCTTATGTTTCAGAGTTCAGAGTTTCAGACTGTTGGCTGCCTTGGCAACATGAAAGATATGATCAGGGCTTACTGTTCTCTTTAGCTGCATGCATTTCTCTGATTTGAACATTTTATTAATAAACACTCATTGTGCTGGAAATATTCAAGTTTTCACAGCATGATTGGGATAAGGCAAATCTGCCTGCACCGCAATTGCTGCAGTCCTAGGCGAGTAGCACTGATACTTCGGTGTATTAGTCAAAACTGATACGATTCTGTGAAAATTGAGTTGATACTGATACTTAGGTATTCTACAGCATTACGTTTACTTGTCCATAATTTAGGAATACAATTCTGTGCATTTAAGGATTTGGGTAATAGAAGGAAAACTGTTTTTGTATGTCAGTAGGTCTGTAGTTTTTTTTGGTGCAGCATGGAATTCCTATATTTGGTTCTGATCTACGTATTAAGGAAAGGTGCCTTACGCTTCTGGTATCTGTTACCAGAGTTGCAATGGAACTATTCATTGCGGCCTGAATTTGGTGTCGTTTCAAAGTGCTGAGCCGTGCACTCACTGAATTTCCTAGCCCATTTTTCTGGTATATGTTGAGATGGAACTATTCATTGCGGCTTGAATTTGGTGTCGTTTCGAAGTGCTGAGCCGTGCACTCACTGAATTTCCTAGCCCATTTTGCATTCTAGCTAGTGTATAATGTTTCTTCTTGTTGCAGTGCTTAAGCTGTAGCGCTAAGACGCCTGTGTTAGTTTTTGTCATGTGAAACTGTCCATTTCACTGTGATTATTATTTCATCGCATGTGAGACTGTCAATAAGTCAATGCTGGCCCCCATGACAGTCATGCAAAATGCAAAATAGATATGTAATATGAGTCTTCTGTTACATGGCTTTGATGGCGAGCAGATTTAGGTATTGCAGATTCAGGAATGAAGACTACGGCAGTTTTTATTAACACATGTTTCACTGCCGATTTTGCTTAGTAATTATTTCACTTGGATCCTTGCTTTGTGGAACCAAAGGTGCAGAATCCTGAATTCCTGATGAATGCCTTCTTTGAATTGGAAGATTGATGAACGTTATTGCGAGCGAATTTCTTTCGTGGTGAATCATGTATATGTATATGTATATAGTAATTGGTCCATGAAATCGTCAGCCTGGACGCTTATCAGTGTTTGCTTTGATGTGTGGATAAGGCCCAATAAGAGTACCCGAACTTTTTGGGCTTTATTACTTTGCTCGACGAAGGCCTCGCTGACACATGCGGTGCGCACGCTAGCTGTCTGTTCACCCAGGCGGGGAAAAGGTTGAAGCTCGCGTTTCTCATTGACCGCCTGCCGCCGCCGCCACTTGAGGAAGTTGAGCAGATCGTGTTAGAGGAAGATGAATGGTGACTTCCAGAGTGAGGTGAGCTTCGATCCCAGTACATTCTTCAGATGGATTTTCGTTGAATCTCATCTTGGTTTGGAACTCTATTTTGTATTTTTCCTCCCGTTCACATGGAGATTTTGATGCATCTCAGGGCGAGGGAGCAGCTTTAGGATCGTAACCCGAGTCATCCGTTGTTACTTGGTGCACCTGGCTCCCGCTCGGTGGTAATGGCGGAGACCACGAGGCCGCCAGAGTTGCGGCGGAGTACCCTCAACATCGCCAACCTCCTTGAAGAGATCCTCTCGCAAATTTTCCTCTTGCTGCCGCCGTTCTCGGTGTGGTGGAGCGATATACGAAAAATAGATGCTAAGCCTGCAATGTCCGATAACGGGGCTTCAGTAGTGAATCTATCGGCACCACAGCAGTGGCATACAACTTTGGACCTAAGGGCCGGCCCCGTTACCTTTCGGAATGGGGGATCCCCGTTGGCAACAACCACGGTAGTAGTTGCGGAACTACTGGGCCAAGAGAGGACAACCTGTTGTTCCTGCTCCTCCTTCTTGGTGCTCGCATATTCTATCCCGGGAGGGAGATGTGCTGGTTGATGGTTATCATTGGCAGCTGCACTTTGACAGAAATGGCAATTTACTGGAAAAATTTCAATGCAATGGCCGCTTGCTAAACTTCACTGTAAATGTTTTCAGAGAAAGCCTCGTTCCACATGCACTCTTCTGAGAGCAAGAGAATAGAGCTGCACGTGATCCACCTTTCTTCAGGGGGCTGTAGAGTGTAATATGGTTTTCCATCATTCCACCTACTAATTTACACTTTTGAGTATCTAATTATCTATGCAAGAGGCTTTACTGTTAGTAGATGGAGCTTAAACTAACTAGCTTCTTTGCTATCTGTTTCAGTTTATGTGTTATGATAGTGGTAGTAACCAACTGGTCTGTATGAATGTAAGATGTTTGATGTGCTCTTTAGTTGGGTACAATTAGTTCTGTTTTAATGCCTCGGTGATCTGGTCCAGTGAATATGGGATTTTGCTGCTCTTAAAACTTGAATGGGGAAACATTCAGGTACTGCAAAGGGTAATGCCTCAGAGATTTTGTCTAATGAATATGGGATCTTGCTGCTCTTAAAACATGAATGGGGAAACATTCATGTTGATCAAGATTTTAATTTTTAGTACGCCCATGAGTTCATCTTCTGAACTGAAAAATGTCTGGGATCGTGCACTTTATTTTACCATTTATATAACACTGATAGTGAAAGGTCACTGTCCAAGTGTACATTTCTCGTTGCTGATGTTTATCTTAGATAAGTTTCTTCATTAGGTGACATTTCTGGCCATGAACATCCTGATGGTCGCTTGTCTTTTATGGTTTTGAAGTGTTTTTATGGTTCTGAAACAAAACTGCTGAACACTGCAGGACTGTTCTAACTGATTTTCCTCTTCACAATTATTTCCCTTGAACAAAAGATGTGTTGTTTATCCTGGACGCTATTCTAGTGCTTGATCGTAGAGCAGCATTGATTCCCAGTTAAGTGATAGCTGGAAAAGCTACCATCCACCAAAACAGAAGATGAAGTCTATTTTGGCTCGAGCTCTCACTTGCATTATCCACTGCATGTTAAAACTGTGGCATTTGTGATCAACTCTTGAGGTCTAGGTACTTGACAATTTGATATGTTACTTGGAGTTGGAGCACAGGATAGAGGAATAGATAGGGTGTGATATACTGATCACAAGGGTCAAAGAATCCCCTACAGGGCCGCACTTTCAGAATCTGGATTTTTTTTTTGTATGTATGCATTAGACGTATAAATCGACTGAATCCTTTGGTTGGTTTTATCTTCCCTTTAAGGTGCGACTGAGGAACCGAGTCTTCTCTTGGTTGAATTCGATGTTTCTGGTACAATATTTTACTGCTCTTGTTTGTTAAACTGCATTGAGGTACATGCAAAAGCATAGGATTTCTTCATTCTGTTCCAGATTATGCGAGACGCTTTAGGGCTCATTCGGTTAGTAGGGAATCATTCCCTGGAACGATACTTACCCGGATTGCTCGGCTAATTTATATAAGCATTGATCAGTTGGAACATTACTAGGTGCATTTCTGAAGAACCGAACGAGCTCTTATTGGTCTTTATGTTCTTGTAACTGATGTCTATATATTTTGCACGCATGTGCAATCTTTCAGAATTCAGAAAGGATTTTTCAGTGCGATATTTTTTTTTCGCGTCGATTGCTAGGTAATGTGCCAATCTGGCTCTCAGCCACAGCCCGCAGGTCGGTCTGTATGGCTGGAATGGACAAACGGTCTATACTGCGTACTATAAAGTTTTTGACTTTTTAGCTCAAGTTAACAGAAGCCGGGCCTACTTAAAGCCTTCACCGAAGATTTTCCCTGGCAATTCTTGAGCATGGGCTACTTCGGTACATTCACTCGGGAGGAACGCAATGCTTTCTTCCGCAGCGGGAGCAAGAGCAACGCACAGCATGGGCGGAGACGAGCGGTGGCAATGAACCGATCGACGACGGAAGGTGAGCAAGAGTCGCTCGCGTGCTCTTTGGCGAGCTTCCCCGTTTATCCGTTTGAATGTAAAGACAATAACAAGAACAAAAGAAGAAATGAACTGAACTGTGTTTTTCATTGATTAATCTTTGGTATTTTATTTATAGTGGACAGACGTCTCGAATGGACGCGACTGCTCGGTGATTACATGAGACGTTAAACTAAGCAAATGATTAGGTCTAATGTCTAGTCACTGATCCATGTCTCGCATGATCCGTGGGATGATACGACTTTAGTCTGATACTCTGATTGGTTTGTAAAAAGTCTTTAATCGAATCAAGTCTCGAGATAAGTTAATTGCCTGTAACACTCGTTATACACAAGATTGATGGTAGGCGGCATTTTTCTGCTGAACATTTGCATTGTATAATTGGAAGCATATGGTCGAAAAACCTTGGAAAAAGTTGTTTTTGCCTCTCTAAACTATTGTCGAAGTCGGTTTTCTCGTTAAACTCCAAAATTGTACAAACCACCTCCCTCAACTCTCAAAATTGTTTAAGTTACCTCATGTCTTTGGTTAGAAGCATCTTTTAAGATGGTTTCATCACTTTTAATTGATTTTTTTATAAACAACAGAAAATGTTTTAAAACTCCAAAAAATGTCTCTAAGATTTTTAAATTTTCAATGTCTCTAAGATTTTTAAATTTTCAAGAAAATATTTAGAGCTTCCAGAAATTAGATTTAGTTGTAGGAAAAAAATGAGAAAAATACTGAACAAATTAGGAAAATTCACAAAATATTTTAATCTGTCTCAAAAATGTTTCTTGGAATTCTGAATATTAGAGATATTTTTTTGTGGTTTTAAAATCTTATCAATTGTTTTTTTTTTCAGATTTCTTAATTAAAAGATGACAAAACACTTCGATCCAGGGCATAGAGCCAACTTAAATAATTTTAAGAGTTGAGGGAGGCGATTTATCTGGTTTTGAAGTCCGAGAAGAAAACCTAGACTGTGATGATATTTTATTAGAATGTAAAAATGTGTGTGTTTTTTTTAAAAAAAACAGAAGTTGCACGGCTCGTCAATAGTAGCAACCTTCATGGCCCATTAATAACGCACTAACAAATAGACAGAGCCCAAAACAAAAGTCATCGTGGCCCACGCAGCGTGTCTAGAAGGCGAGATTCCACAATCCAGAAGGGATCCCAATCTCGTAAATAGCCGCGAACCTCGGTGGCGAAGCCCGAGCTGGCGCTCGAAAATATCTCGCCGCGGCACGAGCTCTGGAGCCTTCACTGGCCCCAACCCCCGACGACCAAAGCATTCCCCCTCCTATTTCAGAGAAAGAAGAGAGGAGATATTTCTCTCACGCCCTCCCCGCGGAATAAAAACTTTTTTCTCTCGCCTCCCTTCCTTGGAATCCATCCATCTCTCGCCTCCTTTGCAATTCGATGCCTTTGTAGGCTTGTAGCGCTGCTGCCTCGCCCTGCGTCGCGCCGCGTCGTCGTCGCGGGTGCCCGGTCGGCTTTGCCTGCTGCTGCTGCGACTGCGATTCCAACATCATGGACGGGGGATCCGGCAATGCCTCCGGCGGCGGCGCATCGACGTGCTGCTACTACGCGCTCCTCGGCATCCGCAAGAACGCCTCCGCCACCGACATACGCACTGCGTACCGGAGGCTTGCGATGGTGAGTTCGCTTGCTGTGCATGCGCGCGCGGCGGCCTCGCGCCGTTGTTTGATTGATTTGGTTCTGTGTGTTTCTGTTTCCTCCTCTCCCCTCCCGAACAGACCCCGCTCACATGTTCCGATCTCTTGCCGTGGGCGCGCAGAAGTGGCACCCGGACCGGTGGGCCAGCGACCCCGGCGCGGCCGGCGAGGTCAAGCGCCGGTTCCAGCGGATCCAGGAGGCATACTCCGGTAAGGCCTACGTGTTTGGTTATGCTTGGATTTCACGAGATTTGATCGAATTGCTTGTTTGGTTGGCGCAGTTCTGTCGGACAAGGGGAAGAAGGCCATGTACGACGCCGGGCTCTTCGATCCCCTCGACGACGACGACCAGGTGAATCAGCACTCGGTTTTGTTTCCTGTCCTCTTTTTTTTCCTTGGTTCCTGCTGCTTATTGTCTCGTCGAAATCAATCAAATCCTTTTGCCATTTTGTGCGCAATTATTATATGTGTATCTTGTAGCCTGATGAAAAGAAATTAATTTCCCTGCTCTGCTCTCGGACGGCCAGGATTTCTCCGACTTCATGCAGGAGATGCTGGTGATGATGGATAACGTGAAAAACGAGGTAGGCGCAACGCAACCCACCCACCACCACCACGCGGATTTATATTTGTTTAATATATTGTAATTAACCTTAGCTTCCGTGCAGAAGCCGGACACGATGGAGGACCTGCAGAAGATGCTGGAGGACATCGTGAACGGCGACGGCGGGGGCGGCGTAGGCGGGCGCGCGCCGCCGGATGGTGCCCGGCGGACGCGCGTCGCGCCCTACCCGCAGCCGCAGCAGGCGCGCAGGTGACCGGCGCGCCGGTGTACGAGATGTACACGCGACGTAGCTGCGGAGTACTGTACGCTTTTGGTGAAAGGGACCGGAGAAAGATGAGCAAGCAACGGGAGGCTCTGCAAAAGAAGAATAAAAATTTCACCCTTTTTAGGCCATCTGATGGTCTGATATAGGAGTAATTTAGGCCTCCTTTTGTGTAGCGGTGGTCGATTGTGCAATCTGGGGGGTGGGTTTGGGTCGGGTGGTGTTGGATACCGGCCGCGCCGCCGCAACAACTGGCGGACGCGTGGCCGGGGACTCTGATTTGTTATCTCGTCGACATTTCGACTTCGTGCCCCAATTGTCACTGGGATCCTGACTGTTCCATTGCCATTTTCGCTCACTGCTGCGCGTCGTGTGTTGCAGACTTGCAGTCTCTGTCGTCGATTTCTAGATATGTTAGTCGTCCGTCGCCGGCGCCGACCGGCCTGGCAACGTTGGCGTCTTCCGGTAACTGGAAACCAGCCGGACGTGGCCTTGTCAGTCATGGCTCAGCAGCATGGTGCCGCTGGGCCGATGATGGTTCTAGTTGCAGCAGCTACGACTACGAAGTGCGAACTCTCACAGCTCACTTACCCTGGCAGTGGCAAGGCATCTACCATCATTATGCCAGTTTGGTTTGGCCGCTCCTCACGGTGTCCACGTCGCCCCGAATTGACCTCACGGTGTCCACGTCGCCCCGAATTGACCTCACGGTGTCCACGTCGCCCCGAATCGACCCGGCCGTTCGATCTC